TGGCATGCCAAGAGTCGAGGGTTTATCGGTTCTTTAGGACATATGTATATCCTTTGGAACCTGTGTGAAGTCTTGAAAGACACATACTTGATCCATAGTATATGTATATGATTCTTAAGGAATTCTACGTGGTCCTTATGGACATCATTCTACGGGCACTACGGTGCAATTCTACGGGCACTTCGGTGTAATTCTACGGGGCACTTCGGTGCATTTACGAGCTGTGGTGACAGCATAGTGCACAACCTCTATAGACTCACATATCGATAGTTCTCACATATATACATGGGCTAATCCAGAGATATGAACAAATATAAGTTAGTGGTATGATAAATGCTATAGAAATTATATGATGTTGTGTGTATAGTGTTTGATTGAAAAAGTATGTGATTATATGATAACATGTGAATGATGATTATGTATGTATGAATTTACTACGCGATTAATCTGATATGATTCTATACGATATGAAAAATGCCTGGAATTGCTATAACATGATAGAACAGAACATGCATGTATCAATATATATGTTTTAAAGTGCATTATAAGTGGTTATGCCTCACTAAGTCTTCGACTTAGCGTGTGATTGTTTCACACGTAGGTTTCGAGTAGAGTAAGGAGTGATGCGGAGCAAGACAGGTCAGTTTTCCTTACCAAAAGATCAGATCAGAAATATTTGACAAAGTATGTTTTTGGTTATGTATAAAGTGTTGGCATGTAATAAGTCATTAAGTACGAGCACTCTGATAAAGTCTGTATTTTGTTTTAAATAAAGTTTTAAATTTCCCGGGATTTTTCTTAAGAGTCAAGGTTTGAAAAGTCAATGTGACACTTCGGACTCGTATCCGGGTCGGATACGGGTTGGGGGTGTTACACATATTTTCATTGATTTAGAACAATTCTTTTTGCACTTCGTACAACTTCAATGCCTAAAAAATACTTGAGTTGCCCTAAGTCCTTCATCTTAAAATTCCTATGAAGAATGTGTTTCAACTCTTTTATCATTCTACCATCATTGTCTGTGATTAGGAGGTCATCCACATAAATCAACATTATGACTATTTTTTCACCTTCTCGTTTTGTGAAAAACGAGTAATCATAAAGGCTTTGCACATAACCACCAGCAGTAAGAGCTTCAGTTAGTTTTAAATTCCATTGAAGAGATGCATGCTTCAAACCATATAATGATTTGAGCAACCTGCATACTCTAAACTCCCCCTGGTTGCGAAAATAGTCTGGCAGCGTCATATAGACTTCTTCATGAAGGTCTCCTTGTAAGAAAGCATTGAAGACATCCATCTGGTATAGCTCCCATCCAAACATAGCAATCATTGCAATAATAGTACGAACAATAACTTATTTTGCCACGGGTGAAAAAGTATAATGGAAGTCAATTCCTTCACATTAACTGTAACCCTTGGAAACTAATCGTGATTTAAATCTTTCAACCGAGCCATCAGAGTTGTACTTGATCCGGTATACCCACTTGCAACCAATGGGTCGTTTATTTGGTGGTAAATCAACCACTGTCCAAGTATCATTCTCTTCTAGAGCATGAATCTCATGTTGCATAGCTTCTACCCAGCGTTCATCACGAGCTGCCTCATGATAGGTTTTAGGTTTAACTAAGGATGAAATGGCAAAAGATGTGTGCAAAGGTAAATGGAAAGAAGAAAGATTATTGGAAGAGGAAAACATACATGCTTGCAGTGAAGTAGAAGAAGAGGATTAAGAAGGACAAACAAAATGAGATAACCATGAAGATGGTTTGGTAACCCTAGTAGAATGCCGCAAAGGAGAAGAACTAGAAACGACTTGTTGACTCGATAAACGAGAGGATGAAGGACATGAATTATCGGGTACCTGACATAATGAATCAGAAGCTACATTTTGAGCATTTGTAGTTTCGATGTTGCATGGAAACTCATGCACGGGTAAAGTTTCATTACACCAATCATGCGATGGCACAACTGGAATATGTAAAAAGTCTTGATCAAGGTCACTAGGTAGAGTTGAAAGCGGAAACAAATGAGAGTTTTTAACTGGAAATTGAAAGGGAATAATGGACTCATGAAATACCACATCTCGATTGATAAAAAAAGATTTTGAGCTCATGCTAAAAAGAACATAACCCTTTTGAACCAATGAATATCCCATAAAAACCGAAGGAATAGACCGAAATGAAAACTTGTCATGATTGTTGGGGATAGTAGCATAACAAAGACACCCAAATACTCTAAGATGTGAAAGATTAGGCACCTTCCCATACAACATTTGAAATGGTGTTTTCCATTGAAGAACCCTGTTTGGCAGCCTGTTAATTATGTAACAGGCAGTTTGGATACACTCACCCCAGAATTTAATAGGAACAGAAGATTGAAACTTAATAGAACGAGCAACATTGAGCAGGTACTGATGTTTTCGCTCAGCGACCCCGTTTTGTTAGGGCGTATGGACACAAGAACTTTGATGGACAATCCCTTGAGAAGAAAAGAAATCACTGCCTTCATTGCTAAAGAATTCCCAACCATTATCACTTCTCACATTTTTAATTTTCCAGAAAAATGATTGTCAACATAGACAAAAATCTGTTTAAGGGTGACAAATGCATCACTTTTGAGCCTAAGTAAGAATATCCATGTCATACGCGTATGATCATAAACAATTATTAAGAAATACATATGTCCATTATGCGTTGAAATACGATACGCTCCCCAGAGATCAATATGAATAAGAGAAAATGCAGTTTGCTCACGAGAATCACTCACAGGAAATGATAAACGAGTTTGTTTAGCAAGAGGACAAACACCACAACTTTTTACATGATCAATATCAGACAAAGTACTATGTAACTGAGACATTTTATTCAAAGTATTCAAAGAGGTGTGGCCAAGACGTGCATGCCATAATACACCATTATCTGACTTTATCAAGGTAGAAGACAAACAAGATTTTTTACTGGAAACAACACGACAACCTGACGAGCTAGGTGGTGACTTTAAAATGTAAAGACCATCACAAAATCTACCAATCCCCTTCATCTCTCCACTGAAAAGGTCATGTATAAGATAAAATTGTGGATAAAAGGTTAAGGAACATTTGAGCTCTTTGGTTAACTGTGATACAGAATGTAAATTGTAATGAAAATCGGGTACATGTAAAACGTTGGTCAACATGTGATCAGGGGAAAAAGCATAGGTTCCTTTGTGGGCTATATGTGTGGTTTTACCATTTGGCAGTTGAACAAACGAAGAGGAGTCACAAGCAACATAAGAATTCAACTTCTCAACATCAAAGGTCATATGATTCGTAGCTTCAGTATCTAGAATCCAGTTGTGATGCAAGGAACAAGGCGAGTACCTGCCATGTGCTCTGCAACTTGCATGGGCGGATCTTTTCCCAACAACTCAAGAATTTGCCGATAATGTTTTTGCGTGAAGGTAGGAGCCGTAGTAGAAACTGAATTTTTAGCCAGGAAAGAAGCTGATTCTCCCTCACTATTCAAGACAACATTGTCGGCAACCGATCCCTTACGCTTATTGAATTTGTAATCAGCTGGGTAACCAATTAGCTTGTAGCATGTTTCCTTCTTATAACCTTTGATATGATAATAATCGCACGCTCCATTGAAACGTTTCTTGATCTGAGTGCTGGAGTAAATGCAGTAGGTTCAAATACATTGGATAATCTTCCTGTGTTTTGACACTGACCTTCCTCTTGAACAAGCATAAAGTATGCTTGATTTACAGAAGGTAATGGTTTTGACAACAATATTTGACTGCATACCATAGAGTTGGAGTCGTTCAATCCCATAAGAAAATGAAAAAGACGTTGTTGATGAAAATGTTCATTATTCTGCCGAGAAACTTCACAATTGCATACAGCGAAAGGAGCAATGACATCATATTCAATCCCGAGCAATTGCAAGCGTGTGTAATAAACCGAAATGGAAGACGTACCTTGAGAATGAGAACCAATTTCTCGATGTAGAAAATACACACGTGAACCATCAATCTTATCAAAATGTTCTTTAAGATCTCCCCACACACGTGATGCATTTGAAGCAAAAACTATTCCTGCAGAGAGTTCTTGACTAACCGTATTCAAGATCCAAGAAAGAACAATGGCATTACAATGCTCCCATTATGCCAAAAATTCTGGAGAAAGACCTTCACGAGAACAAGTCCCACCTATGAATCCAATCTTGTTTTTGGCTAATAGAGTAATGCACATGGATCTGCTCCATAGATTGTAGTTTTCTACCCCAGTTAGCTGAAAATAGACGAGCAAGGTCCCTGGAGTGTCTGAAGGGTGAAGATAAAGAGGATGATTGTAGTCGATTTGAGTTGTCTCCGGTTGGACCATAATTGTGCAGAAACAAAGCAAGAAAGACAACAATTGAACCAACTCACTGCCAACGAACTAGCCGGAAATAACTGCCGGTGATGGCTTCTAATACCAAGTCAACATTTGTATGAGTAAAGGAAATAAAAACAAGATGTGTGAATTAATGCTTTACTCATTATATTCTAACTTATGTACAGCTAACCAATGTATTTATACACATTTAATTAACAACTAAATTGCTACTAACAACCTAGGTAACTTCCTAACTAACTTGCTAACTAGCTTCTTAACAATATCATAAATAGAAAAGTATAAAATTAACAATGCACTCATCGATATCAATACAAAATTATGGAAGTTATATCATCTTGGATCTAATGTTATCTAAGATTAAAGCAATATCACATCAGGTTTAGTTAATAATATTTCTAAAGAATTGTCAATTTATATTTTGCTCTCTATTAATAATTTTATAACAGTAATACATTAAATACATACCTCATTTTTATATTTTTTTTATTAATTCAATAAAATCAACCATTATTATTCGTATCATTTAAAAAATGGAATTGGGCTGATTTTGATCTTTCGATTTTTAGAATTGGTATGTATTATGCCGGAAAAAACCCTAAACTTGGCCCAATTCTTAAACCCCTTTTGCCTAACCATCCGCAAAACCCTCATTTCTAGAACTGGAACAAACTCACAGCGACTATCCACAGTCCACAATCCGGCGAAGTCCATTACAATTTCCGGCCAAATGTCCAGGTTGTGGCGCGGTCTGGGAACGGTGGTTCAAACATCATCGGCGAACTCCCACCATTACCACACTATCCAAGCCATCCCTCGAGAATGTATCGGCAGCCGTATCTCGAGCCGCGATAGATTCCAAGGTAGAATCCCCGCCGTAGTTTTCTCTCAGGGATTGCTCGAGAAAAACCCTAACAACCGTTCTCCGTCAAGGAAACAACTTTTGACTACTGAAGGAAAGCAGATTCGATCCATTATCAAGTCGGTTGAACTCCCTTTCTTCTGTTCCACGACGTTCCAGCTTCAGATCCGGGCCGGTTCTGGGTCGTCAGTCTTACTTGAATCCGGGAGAGTTTTACCTATCAAGGCAAGGTTTTTTTTATGTTTTTAGTTTTTAATTTTTTAGTTTTTATTGTTATCCAAGTTCAAATTTTTTTGGTTGCCTTATAGATTCACAGGGATAAGGATACTGGTAAAATATTGAATTTAGTGTTTGTTTGGGCGGATGAAGGGACTGAGCTGAAGGTTGATGTCCCTGTAGTTTTCAAAGGACTAGAAGATTGCCCTGGTCTTAAGAAAGGTATAAAATTTATTGCAACTGTCCCCCTTTCATAGTTGTTTGATCAATGTTAATATTATCCAAGATTTATAATTTACTTTGTGTTGTCCATTTTCTTGTCCACTTCTCCATTTAGATGAAAATATTGAGCCAATCTGAAATTGTGTTTTTGGGCAGAAACTATCTGAACTTGTTGGGTAAAGTATGGGTTATTATTTGGTATACCCTAAGTGGAAAAATAATTTTACAAGCAGTTTTAAGATGATGACAAGTGTACTTAAAGTATTTTTAAAATTTTAAGCGTATTTAAACATGGCACTTTTCATTATCTTAAGGCAGCTTGTGAAATTCCACTGGCGGTGTACCAAATAATAATCCAATAAGCAATTAGAAACCTGTGTTGTGTTTTAGAAAGTTCAATAGAAAAATAGTAAGGCGTTATAAAGTCTTCCTTTGTGATCATGCTCAGTTCTGCACAATGCTCACCTTGTAGTCGGTTATGTTGAAAAATTTCTTTGTTTTTCGATGTATTTAGAGAGTGCTTGGAAGGTCATATTTCCCTACTTATGTTTGAAAATTCATCACGTGATTCTTTGTTTCTTTGGGACAGAATAAGGCTTTGCCTGGTATGAAGGATGGAATTGAGGAAGTATGGAAAAATTGTTAATCAAATAGTTAAGATTGAAGGTAAGGAAGTGTCTATGAATCTTAACCATTTGATTAACAAATTTTCCATCCTTCCACATTTCCATCCTTCATATGAAGCAAAGGCAAACTGTTTTCTTACTAGGGATATGTAGAAAAACTTGAAATGAATAAGTGACATTAATTTGGGAATCTTTTGGTGTTTACATGTAGGCATCTTCCTGGATATGTGTTTGTATACGATTCTGAAACATGTTTTTTATAAATCACATTTTTTTAGTGCTGTTATGGATGGTTAGGTTAGTTTATCCTCCCATTAGTTAAAGAGATTTCATCTTTTATCTCGGACAGGGTGCACTCAATTAGATTGATTCCAAGGGTTTGTAATGGGGAGGCTGATAGTTTAGCAAAGATGGGAATTGGTTGATGTTTAATCGTTTCCAGTGTGTTGTATCGTTTGAGTTTTAGGTTTTTGGTTGTCTGTTGAGTAGCTTAGTCTGTTTCGTTTTTTCAGTATGGTGTTTATGTTAAATCTTATGTAATTTCGGAGGAGTAATAAAGTTTCTAAGGCACTCTTTTCCTCCTTCTTTAATCAAGAAGGAGGTTTTTAAGGAGGCCTGTCATTCTTATAAAAAAAATGGATGGTTAGGTTAGATGCTACAATTTGATTTTTAGTTTTATGTTATCGAAATTTGTTAAATGTATACATTAATGTTTTCTCCTTTACAATTTCGTATCAATCTCGTGTATCATTAGCCTTACCAATTCTTGGAGCTTTGCTTCTTGCAATCCACTTACTCTCTTTCTCATTTCATGCCATCTTAAGCTTCTTCCCTCGTATTTCACCTTTTTAGGGTTGCACTAAATGATGTTAAGTTATTGAATATCTCGTTGCCAGCGGAAATGCACAAGAACGTGAACAGGCATATGTTGTCTCTTACCATTTAATTGTTGCCTCTATACCCTTCTTTTCTTGTTGGGAACTAGCATGTAAATCAGACAAACAGGACAAATACCAGTTTCTTAATGCAAGCTTTCATGTTGGTTAGGGAGAAACCACATGATGCACATCTTATTATCATTTCCCTTTTCGTTATTTAAATGTGGGGTTTACATGTATATATCTCTTTTGATTTGCCGGTGTGTAATCTCATTGAAGTTTTGATAATCAGATTATACGAGTCATTTGACAAACAGTGTTTGATGATATTTGATACCATAACAGGTGGCCACTTTAACATGATAAGAAGTATTCTAAAGTTTCAATGCCCGGCAGAACACATTCCTCAAAAGATTGAGGTGGACGTGAGCAAATTAGATATTGATGATAGAGTGTTGATGCATGATATTGAGGTCCATCCGTCCTTTAAGCTTCTAAGCAAGAATGAAAGCATGCCTATATGTAAGATTGTGTCGACATATTTTGCAAATCCAGAGCCTATGAAGGTATAGCTAAAGAAGCACGAGTCAAAACCAGATATATCTTATTAGATTTAAAAAAACGAAGAATTTCAAGAATAATTCTGAGTTCTTGATGTGGTGCTTTGAGATTTCCCAATAGACGAGCCATTTAACATTTATGATTGTATTTCAAACTGAGCTTGTGCCTTAAGCTGTTTCAGACCTTTGTTTCAAAGTAACATTAAGAGTAGTTGGTTCCTGTGAAATGATTCGTCAATTTTTGTAGATTCTGCAGAATTTTAGTAGTTTTCTGCAAACGGTTTAGATGAATTGCATATTCTGATACTGAAAATTGTGTTCATCTTATACAATTTTATGATTGTTTTGAATGTTATGTTGATGCTAACTTATCTCTGGTGATTGTATTTGAGCTCTTCATATCTTTTTCTCTAAAAAATATACACTACACGTATTCTATCATGGATATGGGATAAATGAATTTAGGAAGTATACTCACATTAGAAGAATATCTATGAATACTGTATAATAAGCATATATCTAAACATAAACTCAGCCCTTCAGCTGACAAGTTCGTCTTTTTACTTGATCATCAAACGATTAATTTATTTTATACCTTTCGAAATATGTACATGTTAATATGTTTTCAAATCTTTAAATTATAATATTATATATTACTATAAATTTAATTTTTTATAAAATAAATTATATATAATAATTTAACATATTTAAAGTTAAGAAAACGAATTTAAACTAATGTCCCGACCCTTAGCCTTCAATAAAAAAATAATAATTGTTTTAAAGATAATAATAACACAATTAAAAAAAAGAAAATATTATTATTAAGCTCTTTAAAAATAAAAAGGCTTCCGTTATGAAGCGCGTAATGTTTTTTTTTTTTTTTTGGATAAGTCAGATTTTATATCCAAAGAACAATGTCAGATACAAAATTACAATCAGGGATCCAAAACAACACAAATACTTACAAAAGAATCAAAGTTATTCTATACCCCCATTGAAGCGCGTAATGTTTGATAAAAGGGAAAAGAACCGAATTTTAAACCGAAAACGCCATTGCCATCCAATCCTTTGGAACGTTGTTTCCCCCCGCTTTTGTTTTGGTCAATCGAACATAAATCCATGGATTTTCCTATCCTCGTTTTCGTCATTCGAAATCGAATCATTTCTCATGATTTTCCAGAATGATTTCTAGCCATGCGTTGGTTTCAGAATATTTGCTTTTCTTCTTCGTCTTTGTCGTCGTCCTCCTGCTCGTCGCGGAAACATACTGAAGATAATCATAATCAGCAGAATCAACGTCCTAAATCACGTTACTACTTGGGGTTTCGCATTGCCACTATTAGGTTTAGAAGGCAAAGGGAGCCAAAGAGTCTAATCGACCAGGAGGTTATCATCAGAACGAGGAAGCGGTGGTCTCGCAGCAGTCCGGTGGTGGTTGCGATACTCCGTTGTTGTCTCCTCCGCGGGCTTCAAAGTCATCGTCATCTTCTTCGTCGTCGGCCTTAGCTGTACCGTTGCCGCTTCCGCTTCCGCTTCCATATGGAGACGGGGAGCAAAGGTTTCTATCGACGAGGGAAGCTGGACATTGTAAACGTTTGGAGGATAGAGATATAGAAAAAAAACAGATGACACTAATCCTTTAGTTTCAAGGTAATCTTTTTATATTTCTTCTCAAATTATTTCTTTAATTAATATTTTCCTAGATGAAATTGTAACTTTGAGTTAAGTAAACATTTGTTACTATCTTAAAAAAAATACATTTGCTACTTAAATTAGTATCTAAATTTTTTAAATTTATTAAAAAATATTAAAAGTTTTTAAAAAATAAACATTTATTTTTTCTAATAAAAAATAAAAATATCAAATTTCATAAATTTTATGTCTAGAATTTTTATAATCCTTTTTAATAAGTTTTAGATACTTTTAAAATATATGATGTTATCAATTTAGGAATAAGTAAAAATTGGGTAGGATTAGATTTTTGGTCATCCTAAATTAGATTCAGACTTGAAAATTAGAAATTTTCATTTAATCTTAACTTGATTTGGCATTTAATGATTTTCATTTGATTCAAATTCAACTTAATTTTTAAAGTAAAATAAAGTTCAATTCTATATAAATATTTTTTCTTCTATTTGTATTTAATAAAATAAAAAAATACAACAAAATTAATAATTATTTTTAAATAAAATCCGATTTTAACTCAATTTGAATTTAATTTTTTTATTTAAAAAAATCAACTTTATAAGATAAGGTTATTTATCTTATTGTTAAAAGTTAATATTATTAAAAATTATACAATAATAAATGAAATTAAAATTTTAGCATCAATTTTGAAATGTTAAATATTAAATAACTTATTAAGTGATCTTATCTGCAAATGAAAATTTTATTTTTTAAAAAAAAATAAATTCGAATATAGTTTATTGTTAATAACTATGAAATATATTTAATACCTTTGTGTGTTACAGTGAGCTTGCAAGTGCTCCGACGAGTCAAATCGAGAGTCCTGTTTCTACACCTCAGAGAATGTGTGCTGCCGATGTGTTTCCGCATTACATGGCTCCTACAGGTAATCAAGTTTGGTACGCCCCGGAGATAGATGTTGCAGGGCTTCCTCCCCGAGCATCCCATGATTCCAATGCATTTACCACTGATAATACTCCACTTCACAGTCCACCGAATCGAAGTCCCACTCGAAGGAATAGTTATAGAAGCCATAGTGGACCTCCTTCACCAATACATCCCACGTTGTCACTTGAGACTACTGAGATCTCACCGCTGCGACTTGACAGTAATGCCCCTATCTATGTTCCGTTACCTCTTCCTCCAGGAGCAGGCTTGGCTTCCGCACCAGCCTCCATGCCCCAAGTTGCTCATAAACCAGTCTTTGCCAATAAATTCTCGATGGCAAAAGGGCAAACTTATTGGGCGTGGTACATTTGGAAGTGTTTATGTTGCCAGGAACAGGTTTACCGTGTAAAATTTCTGTGTATTTGCTTCCTATTGCACTTGCCATATAATCTCTAAAATGACTTCTTGTTTCTGAAAGAGAAACTGGAGCTTTATGTGCAATGAAGGAAGTTGACATATTTCCAGATGACCCAAAATCTACAATGTGTAAAAAGCAACTGGAGCAGGTTTTTCTGCCAAAAATTTTACATTTCTTCATTCTAGGGATGTTTACCTATAGCTGTTTGAATGTTTTCTACGGAGTCCTAACTACATTTTTTATTGCAGGAGATCAAGGTTCTTAGCCAGCTCAAGCATCCGAATATAGTGCAGTATTATGGTAGTGAAATAGTAAGTGCCTAGTGCATGTTATGGATTTCACCTCTCCTTTTGCTCCACTTAATATCTTAAGAATTTACATTAAGGAATACAAATTACCATATGCAGGTGGAAGACAAGTTCAATATATATCTGGAGTATGTTCATCCTGGTTCGATTAATAAATATGTTCGAGATCACTGTGGTGCCATAACAGAATCTGTTGTTCGCAACTTTACTCGCCATATTCTTTCTGGGTTGGCTTACCTGCACAGCACAAAGACAATCCACAGGTACAAAGCACTGCCCTAATCTGTGGGTTAAAAATAGCCTATTAAAGTAAAATTGTTAATGACATCTACTTTCTTTCCAATTCAAATTTTAAACATGGAAATACTTCTACTTTGAGGAGGAAAAAACCTATTTCAGTATTCTATTATGAAATATCGGTGGTTTAATATGCTGTTTACCTTTTATATTCAGGGATATAAAAGGAGCTAATTTGCTTGGTGATGCATCTGGAGTTGTCAAGCTTGCTGACTTTGGGATGTCCAAACATGTAAGTTTCACATCTTCCCCCTCTTTCGACACATGCTAGTTACAGATGAGGCTTCTATAATTGTAACCATTAGGATCACGTACTGCAATTCATCCCCACAGTTTCAATCCTTCAGTGAAAGTTGTTGCAATTCATCCCCACAATTTCAATCCTTTAGTGAAAGTCATTGCAATTCATCCCCACAACTGCAATCCTTTACTGAAAGACGTTGCAACTCATCCCCACAACTGCAATATTTTATTGGACAGTTTAGTTAAGCATGAAAGAAGTGACGAATATAAATGGACATAAGCACAATTGAAGTGGACAAATTAGATCTTTGTATGAAAACTAGAGTTGACTAGCTTGGTGTAGCAGATGCTGTCGTCATCATAATCATAACTCGTTAGTTGTTATTTTCCTGATTCAGATTGAATATTTTTGTCTTGGTTTTGTTGCACAGCTTTCTGGACAAAGAGCTGATCTATCTTTGAAGGGAAGCCCTTACTGGATGGCTCCAGAGGTACCATCTCTCAAATTTATATAATTATATGATATCTGTACTTTAAACATACTGACACAATCCATTTCCCTACAGCTCATGCAAGCAGTGATGCAGAAAGATAATTGAAGATACTATTTTTTTTCCATTTACTATTATTATTATTTATTATTATTATTATGATTATTATTATTTTTATTATTATTTTATTATTACAAACGGGCCAAGTCTGGCCCAACCAGTTAACCCAAATACAATGGCCCAAACAGTTAACCCAAATGTGTAACCCTAAACCCGTTTAAGGTTTGTATCTAAACCCAGCCGCCATCATCCATCCACCATTGGATCTGGCATGATCCAACGGTCCAAGAACCTCCAGATGCAAACCCTAGGGTATGATACCCTAGGGCCACGCGGCCGCCGCAGCTGCTCTCGCCATCTCCACCGCTGCCACGTCCCAACTGAAGGCTCCAGAAGCTCCAACGCCAGCCGTCCACGCCATGGCTATGGGGTGAGTCACTACTGGGAGTCCGGTGATTCACCGAAAGGTATTCTTCAGACCGGTCCGATGGCCACACCGGTGATGGCTATAAAGCCATCACCCCATCTGCGAGCAAAAAAAAAAAAAGAACGGGGAGAGACGAGAAAACAAAAGAGACAGAGAGAGATAAAAAAAAACTACCAACGATTCCAGTCAACAACAACACTGCAACAAAAAAAAAGGAGAGAAGCTTACCAAAGAAGCCTTGACCATCGCCGGAAGCACTAAACATCGTCGGAGAACAGAAAATACCGAAGGTATTTTCATAGATTTACTCCGATTAGGAGTCTTTTTGGGGAAACAAAGGTCGGATTCGGTCTTAGGGTGTTTAGATCTACATTTTAGGTGAATTTGGGGAATTTCCGACCACCGGAGGCGGTGGTCGGCGGCAGAATTTGCGGCGGCAGACGGCTGCCGGACTCCCTCCGGTGAGGGAATATAGAGAGAGGCCAGAGAGAATTCTGGCTCTCTCTGTTTGAGAGAGAAAAAAAAAAGAAAATGAGATAGCTGGCCCGAAGGGCCAGCCGGTTTGGGCATTAAATAGCCCTTCCCAAACAACGCCGTTTCGGGGAGGGCTATTCGTGTAATTAAATAATAGTTAAATCTTTCCGCAGTCAGCCTAATTTGTAAACTTTACATTTTAGTCACTAAATCAATTAATAATCCTTTTAATTCGGTTCTTTAATTATAATTTTATTTATTTTAGTCCTTTGTATTAAAATAATATATTTAGGATAAATAACAGATTTAATCATTTAATTTTAATAAGTAATATTTTGATCCCTAGTTTATATTTTTAATTTATTTTAATCTAATATCCGAATTTTATATAGTTTTATTTTAGTCACTAAATTAAAAAAAATAAGAAAATAGCATGTTTAATCCCTATAATTTTGATTAATTATGAATTAGGCTTTTAATTTTAATTTTACTATAATTTAGTCACTAATTTTAAATGTTTTCATTTATTTTACTGCTTTTAAATATATCGTTCTAATTGTATTTTTATTGTTTTATTTAAATATTTTTTATTATTATTATATAGTCATAAATATATATAATAAATAATAATTTATATTAATATTTTTCAATATCGAAGAAAAGGGCAGTCTTAATACAACTGGATGTCCTATTCTGGTATTTTAAAATTAAATATTATTAAAAATTATTATTTAATTTTATTTAAATTTAATTTTATTAATATCAAAGAAAAGAGCTGTCTTAAGGCACCTAGAAGTCCTTTTCTGATATTTTTAAATAAATAAATATATTTTAATAATAAGATTATAAATTAAATGTATATTTAAATTTTTTAATAGAGACAATTTATAATTAAAAAGTACCAATTTTGGGCGTTGTAGGGGTGCTAATCCTTCCCTAAACGTAACCGACCACGAATCTTTTTTTTTATTATTAAAAAGAACGAATTTTTGGTTATAAACGCAGATCAGTTCATTTTTTAATTGATGTTTTCTTAAAACTCTTTTAAAAAATAATTTTTAGGTATTCGACCTACCTGACCCAAAAGGCCGATGGCGACTCCCAAATTATTTTTAAAAACCATTTATTCACATCAATTTTTCCGCCAAATAAATATTTCGTACCCGGACAAAAATCGGTTACGACAATAATAGTTCCGAGCTTGCTCTAGCTGTTGATATTTGGAGTTTGGGCTGTACGGTTATCGAGGTGTTCACTGCTAAAGCCCCATGGAGTGAGTATGAAGGGGTAAGCGCCTGATGTATCTTAATTCTGAAATTTGGGGAAGATTTTGAGCATCCCAACTTCCCACTGTTGCATGAAACAACATTAGATTATGGAAAAAGAAAACAAAAAGTTGGGTTTTGTGCTTCTCATAATGCTAAATAATCATGCACTGTATGCCAATTAGACTTATCTGCCAATCATTAAAACTTAATAGTGCCCTAATAGTGTGCACGGAAGGGCAGGTTCAGTTGCCAACTTCTGTGTGTTATCTTTGTTAATCAGGCTGCTGCTATGCTTAAAGTGATGCGGGATACCCCTCCCGTACCCGAAACATTATAACCTGAGGGGAAGGATTTCTTGCGTTTCTGTTTCAAAAGAAATCCTGCAGAGAGACCATCTGCAAGCATTTTACTTGAGCACCGATTTGTTAAAAGCCCACAGCAGTCGGTTGCCTCATCCAGCGCCTCATCCTTTAATGGGATAAAACTCATTGTAAACAAGAATAGATACCCTGTTGTATCCATTGGCTTATAATGGTTTCTGTAATAATTAGTTTAACAATATACAGGATGCTCCCCTTGGTCCAGGTGAGCGATCTGAATTTAAACTGGCTCAATTACCGGTGCAGCCAAGCTTGCAGTGTTCAAAACCTGTGACCCCTGACAGGTAAGAGTTACATTGTGATAGCCTTGGAACTTAACACTTTCTGCAACTTGGGATTTGCATATTGTAGCTTCCGAATTCAATCGAATGCTTTCTTTTTTCAACTGTCCATTTCAGCTTCATGAATTGTTCTTTTTCTCCAGTGAGACTGCACAACGATATCATTACAAACATTGTGATGTAACAGTGGCACCGGGTTATTCTCCTCGGTCGACCCTTGAGGTTCCTCCTAGTCTGAATTCCCCATCATCCAGTACTTCTGGTACCGTTAATAGATATCACAACCAGGAGTGTAAGACGAACTATATGTTCGGATAACATCGAAGAAACGAAGAAAGGTTGTGTACTATTTTAAAGGCTTCTCTGATCAGGCAGCTTCAAGCATTGCATTGGAGACCAACAAAAAACGAATGTGGTCCGATGTGGAGAACCGAACTAAAGCCTCCCTACCTGATCGATGTCTTCAATGCCTTATCGAAGTTTCGGATGCCTTTTCATCCTGGAAGCATATCCGGTAACTGGTTATTTTTTGTAAATTACTGACTATTTTTTTCAAAGCTTCCAAAATTGTGAAAGCCCTTTTTTCCTCCATGTATATTCTTACAGAAAGTGACATTTTAATCTTCATAAGTCGAATGAATTAGTAGATTTTAGAAAGTGTTACCCATATATCATTTGTCGTTCGATTCCCATCTTGCCATACTCTGCCTCCGGATCATGTATTGTTCAAGCCATTTTCTTTTTAATTAAAAATTTAAATAGTATGAGTTCTGGGAGAACAATATTTCTTTTTTATCATTGAAGTATCCCAATATATTTCATCGCAATATAAGTTCTAAACTATAAAATTTTAAAATATTATATCAACAAATGCGTTTAAATAAAAGTTAAAAAAACAATATAATATAAAGCATTATGTAAAATTTCAGAGTTAGATGACATTGGCAAATACCAATCCTAAATTGCCAGGAGAAAACTATGGTTAAACCTAATTGGACCAAAGAAGATGTTTATGTATGACTTTTTGGCCTTATAATCAGGTTTATGATTGGAATAGAGCACTTCCCCACTCATCATCTTGTCAACTTTCTTAAATTCAATCACCTTTTCATTTCATTGATAAAAAAAGGCAAACAAAACGAATGATGTAATCCACGTTGAATTTGTAATATAAATTTATACGGTGGATTATAAGGTAATATTTATTTAAAAAAATTTAATCAGTTGACAATGAACACTTAAACATTTATATAAATATTGTGGTCGAACTCGAATTCTTTAATATAATAGCTATTCTTAGTTAAAGTCGTCTAATTCGTGATTAATTATTTATTTAAATATTAATTAAAATAATATAATAAAAAAACCTCTTATAAACAATTGGTCTATTAACACTCTCTAGCTCATCTATATTTCTTCTTCTTTCCCACTCTAATTAAATCCTCTTATCCCCCACGCCTTTAACTACCCCCGCTTACCTTGTAGTTTTTTTTAACCATCCACTTGCATCATAGATGCAGACTATATTATTCGTATTAATTATTTTTCTTGAAGTCATCATAGATATATATCTGAAAAAATATTCCAAATATATAAAAATTTTGAAAAAAAAAATACAACATATTCGTGTACGCATACACCTACAATCGAATCTGAGTGATACATATTCCAGGTTCATGCACTGATGAATAGTATTTATCCATTTCCAGTTACATGGCACTAGCTGATGTGCAAATTGCCACTGATGGATCTATTTCATCACTCCATTAAACCAAATATGATATCTATCTTCACTACTACACTTACTGGTATTACTTTCGGCATAAAAATAAGTGTTTATGAATTATATATATATATATATATAAACTATTGTTGCATATGTCTTAATTGTTATAAAGTATTTTCGCATGCACTTTAGGAGTCCAGTTTTTCTTCGCATGGCAGACACTTGAGTCAAACTTGAGAGACTATAGTTTACAGTCTTTAAATGGAAACTTTTTTGTCTCTAGAGGAATACACCAATGATGCCACTTTCAATGAGAAGATACATGCGATTGTACCAAACCTATTGAAGTGGACATCAGATAATGGTTCTCCCACTATCTGGAGAAATGACTAAATCAAATTTTGCTCTGTATTGTATTCAATTCGCATCTGGTTTACTTTGTGTATAAATAGCCCAGTTTCCACTGCTTGAGCTTCAAGACAAGTCCGGATTCGAATTTTGGTGTTTAAGTTTGACGATATGGAACGAAAAGCACCCCTTGTTCACTTGTTTTACATCTTTTTCCTCAGTCACCTGGTCTTTTGTCAACTTGATTATAGATTCTATGACAACACTTGTCCTAGTCTCACAAAGATTGTTAGATATGGTGTTTGGTCAGCCATTGCTAATGATACTCGAATGGCGGCCTCTCTCATTCGGCTTCACTTCCATGATTGTTTTGTTAATGTAATCAAACTATGCTTCGTTTCTATATCGACGTCTAGTCTAGGTTATTAATGTGTCGGATACTTTAGAAAAAAATGAAAAGTGGGATAAAAATATGTCATAACTGTCCAATTATCATGAATTGAAACTTTCTTCTTTATTCTTCTCCAGGGATGTGATGGTTCAATCTTACTTGATGATATTGGCTCAACATTTGTGGGGGAGAAAACTGTAATTCCTAATCAAAATTCAGTAAGAGGCTATGAGGTTATTGACAAAATTAAGGCTAATGTTGATAAATATTGCCCATCAACTGTTTCCTGCACTGATATATTAACACTTGCAGCAAGAGATGCTGCTAATATTGTAAGTAACATTTTCAACACTCACTGCTAATTTCAATCTGATTTGTATATCTTTATCATCCTTCATGTGTTTGTGCTGTCGTGTCGGTAATCTATCAGGCAGGGGGGATCTTATTGGATGGTACCGTTAGGTCGTCGAGACGGCCGGACAGCGAATAAGACTGCAGCTAATCAACTTCCATCACCATTTGAGTCGTTAGACAACATCATTGCAAAGTTCAATTCAAAGGGTCTTGATACAAAGGATGTGGTTGTTCTGTCAGGCATGCTTTTCATTTCAATGCCATTAAAACATCAGTCTTTGATTATTATTATTTTTTTCTGCTTTAAAATGAAAACAAAACCCTGTTTTCAGGTGCTCACACCATTGGCTTTGCTAAGTGTTTCACGTTCAAACAAAGGCTCTTCAACTTTGGTGGGTCGGGCAAGCCCGACCCAGACCTTGAAACATCATTTCTCAAAGGTCTACAGAGTGTGTGTCCAGATCAAACAGATTCAGACTCCACTTTAGTTGCTTTAGATTCTCTCACGACTAACAGATTCGACAACGGATACTACAAAAACCTCGTCAACAGCTCCGGTCTTTTGCAGTCGGATCATGTGCTTAGTACAGATAACCGAACTGCTTCCATGGTGGTTAACTACAGCAAATACCCTTATCTGTTTTTAAAAGATTTTGAAGCATCAATGGTGAAGATGGCCAACATTGGTGTTCTGACCGGACAAGACGGGGAGATAAGGAAGAACTGCAAAGTGGTCAACTAGATTATACCTTAGAGCTTGTTACTTCCAAGGCAGCAGATGAAGGCTTTTTTGTTTGTCATCAAACTTTGCAATTTGAAGTGTTTTCAGGTTTCTAAATGTGAATGACTGCATGTAAAAATACAAGGAACCTTTTACGTTTCAGCTTTGTTGAAAGCACTTTTAAAATAATTGGAAACTTGGATTGCTGCTCTCTCATTAGTCATTACCAAATTCAAATTCTTTTAGCTACAGGCTCCTTCATATAATATCCTGTTAAATTTAAAAGTTGTTTGTGTTGGTCATTTAATTTATGAAAACTATTATAAAAGGAAGTGATATTATCTTTAAAGATTTTAAATTTGAATAATTATATTAGTAGTATGTATGTGTGAGTATTAATAATTAAATTTTTTAAAGAGACATTATTTTATAATTATTTTAAATTATAAAAAAATATTTTTTAAAAAATTATATTCGAACAATTATATTTATAAAATATACTTATATTAAGAAATTCTCGGAATATAGTCTATTGGACAGCCCAAACATCAACATCCTCTCTCAATAATAAAGGCTGGAAATATGACCCCACTTTAACCTCAAATCCTTGTGTCCTGAAACTCGCTCGACACAAAAATCCGACGGTTCCTAAAGCACCCCAAAAAGCAGGCAGCAGCTAAAACAAACCAACCCGCAGACGAACGGGCAAAGCCTGAAAAGGCGAAGACCCTTTCTTTTCTTTTGTTGGGTTCAAAACAAAATGTGGGATTATGGCTGTATTGGGGTTGTTTTCATTTTCAGTAGAAGCAACAGTTAAGTGAGAGAAGGGAAAATGGTGAACCCAAGATGCTATTTGGACATAAGTATAGGAGGAGAACTAGAAGGAAGGATAGTGGTGGAGTTGTACAAGGATGTCGTGCCTAAAACTGCTGAGAATTTCAAGGCTTTGTGTACTGGTGAGAAAGGCATTGGACCTAACACTGCTGCCCCCCTGCATTACAAGGTTCTACCTTTTGTCTTTCTTATATTCACGGAACTCTAATATTGATATGTTAATGCATGGAAGTATATCTAGTTTAGCGATTAACACTTTTTCTTTCTTCCTTGATTGTCAAAAGTGTCAAAATTATTTGGTTTGAGTGTAGTGGGTGATAAAGTATGGGCCATTTTGTTTTGCTTTGAGTAAAGTAAAAGCCTTTATTGTGAGTGTTTCTATTATTATACCATGTAAAGTAAGCTGTTTCAAGTGTAAAAAGATTGAATTTTCATGCGCTTTAACTTGAGTTTTGTTTTTTCAAGATGGAAGTGTTATAAAAGTGATAAATGATGCAATGGTCGGCAGCAAGGGAACTTTTTTTCCTCCTAAAATCTAGTTTGCATCTAATGTTAATGCATGTAAGCATGACTTTAAACTTAGAGAATAAAGGAAATTAAAGATGGCATTGTTACTTGTTAGAGATTTTCTTGCTTTTGCAATTTCACTTTCGTTGAATGACTTCTATGCACCTCCAAATAGTTTTCTTAACCTTTTTAAGCAACTTTGTAGTGCTTTCCTTTTTCTATCAATAGTGCAATTTTGATTTACAGGGTGTGCGCTTTCATCGCATTATCCGAGGTTTTATGATACAAGGTGGGGATATATCAGCAGGTGATGGAACTGGGGGAGAATCCATTTATGGCTTGAAATTTGAAGATGAAAATTTCGAGTTAAAACATGAAAGAAAAGGAATGTTAGCCATGGCTAATATGGGGCCTAACACCAATGGGTCTCAGTTCTTCATTACAACCACTCAAACTTCTCATCTCGATGGAAAACATGTGGTTTTTGGCAAGGTTTTAAAAGGAATGGGTGTTGTTCGATCTATCGAGCATGTTGCTACCAAGGATGGTGATTACCCCTCTGTAGACGTTATAATTGAAGATTGTGGAGATATTCACGAGGGGGCAGATGATGGGGTATCCAACTTTTTTAAGGATGGTGATATTTATCCTGATTGGCCAGCTGACCTTGACAAAAAAGTGGATGAAATTTCTTGGTGGATGAAGGCAGTAGACTCTATCAAAGCTTTTGGAAATGAGCAATACAAGGTATTTCATATAATTGTAGGGTTTTTTGCGATATAATTTGCTTCATTTTCCTTTGCCGTAGATTACACATGTTACACTTATTATGAATGAGATCGCCTTGTGCTCTGAGTTATGAATCCTTAATGATGTCACATTTTCTACCTTACATTAGAGACTATCAATATCTTTAGTTCTTTCTTTTGGAACTTGGTTTACTGCTATAGTTTTGCTAGATATTCTACTTGTTCCTTCACACAGAAACAAGGCTATAAGTTTGCTCTTAGGAAATATTGTAAGGCTTTGCGCTACTTGGATGTCTGCTGGGACCTGGATGACATTGATCAAGGTGCATTATTTAGTTTCTTTCTTTGATGATCATGATTTTATTTTCATTAATCCTCTAATTATTCTGCTTTTTCTTCCTTTCTAATTTGTCATTACCCAGAAAATAGCTCCTCTTTGCGGAAGAACAAGTCTAAGATATTTACAAATAGTTCTGTAAGATTTTGATTTCCTTGTATAAGATCATCCATAAGTAGTTGGTTTAGTCATCTAGCATGACTAGAGCATTCCAATCTTCTTTCTCACATTTTAAGTTCTCATCCATTGCATTTGCATCTTCTCTGTAAAGCATTCCTCCATGTTAGCATCTGTCATTACTTTTTATACCTTTTCCTGTTATTGTTATTTGTTTTCTTTCTTATGACTGCTTTCTGTGTTGTCTGATTTAGGCCTGCAAGTTGAAACTAGGTGACCTGAAAGGAGCATTGTTGGATGCAGACTTTGCAATTCGTGATGGAGAAGATAATGTGAAAGCTTTCTTTCGCCAAGGCCAGGTCAGTGCTTAGTATTTGTAATTCAAAGCCAAATTTATTGCTTCCTTAACACTGTTTATTTTGCCTGGTCCGTTTTCTTTTCCATTTCTTTTCGCTGGTTATGTTTCTTCTTAACACTGCTTAGTTCTGTAGATTTGCTTCTTCTTTTTTTATCTTACTAGTATTGGTGCTTTTTCAAGCATAACTATATTGTAGTTTCTTTTTTTCTATGCTAATTGGTTTGAGGGTGGAACCTAACGTGTTTATAACAAAATAAACTGCATGCCATTGTTTTAACTGAAATGCAAATTGGTCAAACTATTAAATGGCTAATTGCAATTTTACCTGGTAATCTTTTTACTTTAATTTCTTTTGTTTTTAACTGATCTCAGGCATGCATGGCACTGAATGACATTGATGCTGCAGTTGAGAGCTTTAAAAAGGCATTGGACTTAGAGCCGAATGACGGTCAGTAAAATCTTGTCTAAACTGAAACAGCTGCAAAACCCCTTCCATGTTACCTCCTTCCCTCTTCCATTCTCTTCCTCCCGTTTTACCGTTTTGAGGTCCAGAAGGGTTTGCTAGCTTTTCATATTTGATTAATGAAGTGTCATGTTGTGTCACCTGGTAAAATTGCATACCAGCATAACATAAATACAAAACTTTACTTTAAATCATTTATTTAGTTTTTGCTATCATTTGTCTAGTTTATTAAAATCATTCGATTATATACTTTTAGGCGAACTTGGGGATGGCCTTCATCTTATATCATGTTTTCTGCCACTCAGGTGGAATAAAGAAAGAGCTTGCAGCTGCAAGGAAGAAGGTCAGCAATAATTATCTATTATTTTGCTGAAAAAATATTTAATGCTTTCCACCTCGCACTTCCTGTTGATTTCACATGTGAAGGTAATTGAACTTGTAAAACTGCCGCAGATTGCCGATAGACGAGACAAGGAGAAAAAAGCATACTCTAGAATGTTTCAGTAGATCTTTAGCCAACGTTATGGTACAGCAATAATCTTTCTGTTCGCTTTCTGATTATCGATGTTTCACTTTGTCTAGTAAATTGTGTTTTGATTATTTGCAGGCCACCTTTTGTCTCGAGGTTTTTAATTTTGCCTACATTGTCGTGTAGTCGTGGGAGATCTATTATAGTCCAGCTTGCATTATGGAAAATCAGGTATGGACTTTCTGATTTTTGCTATGTATATATGCATATGTACTTATGCCTTTGAACTTTGGAATTTATGCTGTTGTGCATGAGTTAGCATACAGTAAAGCCTATCTGATCTCTCTTCAGGAAATACTCAGACTCGGTTGAACTTTAAATCAGATTCATCTTTTATTCCTTCTCAGTTCTGATCAAGCAGATATGACGTTTTATTCCGAGCAGGAACTGTATTTTGACATACATGCCTGTTAGAGTTTATCTGAACATTCCTTTTATGCTCACAAGACTAGTTTTTATTCGAGCTAAAATTGATATTTTCTTTTTCACTTTCAACACTTTATTCCTCCTGCTTTTGGACTTGCTCATCAATTGTGGTTTCCCTTGCTTATTCTGATAAATTTCTTTGGTTCGAGCTTTCGGCAATGCAAGGTCTTTGTTTGGGACCTGGATGTTTTAGTTTTGATCTTGCTCAGTTCTGATTCTATTCGCACTTGTCGAAGTGTGAGCTGCAATGTGCGAAGAGTCTGCCTCCTTAGCCGCAAGGTATATTTTAGTTTTGATCTTGTTCTGCGCTTTTCATCCTTGTCTGCCTTCAACTGTTCCAACTCTTCACGTGTTTGTTCCAGAAGCCCGTTCATTTCATTAACTGTCTTTACAGCCCTGAGTTCTTCCTCCCTTTTGGCTCTAATGTCCTTGATAATGGTCTCAAGTTGTGATTCGAGCTCCAAAATCATATTACTCAAAATAGAATCTTGATTCTGAGCAACTGCAAGTTCCAATTTGTGTCTCTCGAGCTCATCAATGAGGGGTTTAGAATGTAACCATGAATATGTAGCATTGTCCTTGGCTCTCTTCAGCGCTTCCTTTGTTTTCTGCAGTTCTAAAATCTTGGCTTCCAATGTATCATCGCTTCCTTTGTCGAAATCTCTTGGTTTGTCCATCTGATTTTTTTTTTTTTTTTTTGCCATCGAACGACTCCATCGCTGTTATCAGTGATCAAGGAATTGGGGGCTTCCTGTAACCATTGCATTACATAATACTGTATGTCTTAAAGATTTTGTTTGATTGGCAAATGCTGTCGTTTTCCAAACCCAGT